TTTGCAGGCTGATATGGATGATGGGGTAGATAACATAAAAGAATCAAGCGCCTCAACCAGTTGATTATGACCAGAGCTGCTCAAATCATAGGCAGAATTCAAAGGAGACTGAAGAATGCACAGAAGCAAGGGTTACTTGTCCATTGGACACACAAAACTCTCTCAGTTCTGGGTTATATCAGTGTGTGTCTGGGAGGGCACTTCCCAGTCCAGATTGACACACACACACACACAAGTTCTGCTTGAGCTAATGTGCTAAAATTAGCAAAGTGGCCATGGCAGCATGAGTGGCTGCTTGTTTGTTTCCTGCTAGACATAATGGAACGTATTTATATAGCATCCACCGCACAAGACCCTCAATGGTCCTAGCAAACAAAGCTAGGAATAGAGCTGAAACCTCTTAACTCTCAGTTCTGTGCTTTAACATATTATGCTATGTGTCCTTGCAGAAATATTCATCTAAGACTAAAGACATTAGCAATTACTTATATGAGAAATTCGAGTTTGAGTTGCTAGCAGTAGCTATGTTAAGTAGACATAAAGAACAGGGATGAAGAGCTTGTAAGAGACATGTCTCCGAGCTTTGTTGCAACATATAAAAGCTTGCCTCACCCCTGTATGAGACTGTATTTGGCAGGCATCTGGAAAATTCTAGGAATCATGCATTCTACATTCGATAGAACTGTTCATGGGGCGAGGCTATACCAGCCTGCACTCCTCTTTGAAGATACTCTGAATGATTGTGCTGACATGTCAAGAGAGATCAGTAGGATCACACCCAGGAGAAAAGCATTTGCCCCCCCCACCTCTGCCAAAGGCATCAATGCCATTACTGAAGGCAGTCATCTTGCACTGACTGACTAGACAGGTACAGCCACATTCAGCAAAGCAAAAAATAACCATATTCAAGCCAAATGATGCAGTATGTTCTACTGTCCCAAAGTGAGTTTAATCATAGAGACTCTCCCTGAAGGAATGGCAAAAATATTTTGGCTGTCACTAATGTCAATGGATCAGATTAATCTCTGGTGTAATTTGTACAGCCTCTAAAGAGTTGTAGAAGGGATAAATGTGGCCCAAACTCTTTGTATAATATAAAAAGGGAGGGTGCAGAGAAATTCTCTCCCAGGAGAAATTAACACATGTTGGCAGACTTTGTGGAATGGAGCAATCTGTTGTGGTTTTTTTGTTTTTTCGTTCTCTTGCTTGGTTGGTTGTTTCCACTTCTTGATCAGGAAAAAAATCTTCCACCATAATGTTTGGGTCGTAAAAGGGCTCCATCTTGTCTTTCAAATACCTCCTTGAGCATAAGGAAATTTAAGGGCAGTAATACTGCTGAGGGGGTTACAGAGGGGCAACCTCACTGCAACCTTTGATGCTCCAAAACAGATTCTTGAAACGTGACCGTGGGAAGATGAGATATTAATGCTCAGACTGTATTTCCCAATAATTGGGACCAATTATGTGGTCAAAAGGTCTGAATTGACATTCCATGACGGAAGACAGAAGCTTGTGGAAGGTACTGGCTTATATTGACTGCCGCCCTTCTGTTCAAGCCTCCTGATGTTGAGAATGCATGGCCAAAGCAAAATGACTGGCAAATGAGGAGTACAGCATCAGTTATGAGCAAAATCCCTTCAAGGAATACCATGGCTGGCCTCCCTTTCTCCAAGAGGGCTTCCATATGCTAGCAAATTAGACCAACAAGTGCTCTCATTTGGTCTGCTAAATTTTTATTTTTAGCACTGGTAGGAGCCAATTTGATAGAATTACTAGTAAGTGGATGAAGGATGCATGCCTTAGATGTAATATGTTTAGATTTTGGTAAGATTGAAATAGCAACTCACAAAATCTTAATTCAAATTGGCTTGTGGACTGAAAACAATGTGCAGGACCTTAAACTCAAGTCCTGTACACACCAGGAAATTGCACCACTGCTCAAAGTAGAATTCTGAAACAGTATTGAAAACAATATTGTTGGAGCTATTCTACTATTTGAACTATTTTCGTTTCCTGTCCAAGGAGACTTAGTATAGAAGAAAATTGTCTGTTATAGTTCCAATTCCTAGTGTAGGCATAGATAATGATAAACATTGGTCTGTCTAATTTAGAAAGGAGAAAGAGATACATTACTGAAATAAGCAGATGCCAAGGAGGATAAAGACATAATACAAATGGGCCCTGACAATGGGCCATACAAGTGTGGTTTGAATCTACCTTGGCCCCTCTCCTCCTACCCCACAGCCTTTCCTACATCAAGCATAGATCAGTCAGAAGGGAGACTCTCTCCCAGTGTGCACTACAGAGGATGGTGTATAACCATTTGCAGATATTGGAAGGGTGTAATCACCAAGGCTTGTTTAGTGAGATACAGGAAGGTATAATTTGGAGTAATGGGATAAAATAGAGAGAGGGAATAATTAAGATGCATATCAGGAAAAACCTGTGATGCTGAATGTTTGTGGAAAGTAGTTGTAGAGGTCTCTTCTCTTGGGATATCTAGAACAAGACTGGATGAAATACTAACAAAAATATGTAAGAGACCAGGAGACAGACTGGATGATGTAACAGGTCCTATCCATCTTTACTGTCCATGATTCTGGTCATTGGCTTTCTCTGGATTATTTTAATACAAAGCTTTCTTCATAGGTGTGCATCATCATGAGATACTCATATAGATCACCCATTATATGCAGGTCAGGCAACCCCCATTGTGGGCTATGCACCCCATATACATAACCAACTACAAGAATAATTTTTTTTTAAATCACACATCCAAAATATTGGAAAGTTTTAACAGGCATAATAAAAATATGGAGGTACAAGTAAAGAGAGCCAGTCTTAACTGTAATTGGTCTGATGTATGTCTGATGTCCTCAAAGGTATAGCTGATACCTATAAAAAATTTGACAACTGACCGTCAGCTGGTATTCTGATACCATTGGTTATCTTGCTGACCTGTACTGTCTCATTGTTTTCTTGTGCTCTCCCTGTCTGTTATACCACCCTATTGTCTCTTGTGTTATACTTGGATGATAAACTAATTGAGTTTTTGCACAGTGCCTAGCACAATGGGGCCCTGGTCCATGATTGGAGTTCTTAAGAGCCACTGTAGTATAATAATAACTAATAATTAACATAATAATTAATAATCCCCCACTAACTTTTTCTGATGCAAAAGGATAACAGGAAAGCATGAAATCTATGATTCTGCCAGAGAGAAGACTGGTATCGTCACAACAGCTTTGTGTGTGTATTTTCATATCAGCTTTCTCCTATCACAGCTGGACCTATGTTGCATGCCCAAAGCAGTGTTTATACAACTATTCAGCATTTCACTGTGACACCATTACCTATTGGTTCACTGAAATAAAAACAAAAACAAAAACAAAGTCAAAAGCCCCTTGCATTCCTTATTTCTCCTTCTTTTCCAATACTCCCAAAACCCTGGAGAAGCCCCAAGTGCTTACATTGTATTTTTGAATTCTAATAGTTATGCTAGCTCCAGGATTGTATAATTTGCTTTTATTATTTAAAAATTGTGGCTTGTTTTAACTATACCTGTACTTCTGAGTCGGGAGATTCTAACATTAGGATGAGGACAGGGAGGGCTCCTTCCCTGCACAGGACTTGCTGGATCCGCTCTGTAAAGTGAGAAAGAGGGCAAATTTTAGTATGTGAAAGGGTGCAGAAGGATCAAGGATCACCCCCTCCCCAGCATACAATCAAATGGATGCAGCATTGTGAAGGCTTTCTGAGAAAAAGGGACCATTGGGCAGTGCTGAGTGATTTAGGTTCATCCAAATGTACCCCAATGAGAGTAACTTGCAAATAACACTCCAAATAAGACAAAGTCTGTATGGGAGCAGAACAGCAGTGCAAAATCATTTTAGCCATAATGACCTGAAAGCCACCTGAGCAGGCTTTTCCTTCTTTTTTTTTTTAAGTTAAAGATTAAAATTGCTAGAAGTGCTAAGCAAAGATCAGACCCACTAGTATAAGTCATTTCTGTCTATTTCATATAAAACATCTTTTTTAACCATAAATTGAAAATGTGCAATTGTAACAGTCAACAGGCAAAGTTCTCACCCTCCCCCAGTACCTCATCTAAAGGGGACAGATCAGCCACCGCAGTAGTATCTTGGTGCATGGGATTGACCTCTGACATAATGTTTTCCATTGTTTTTGTTTTAGAATTAATGAACAATGATGTTGTCTTTTAACATAGAAGGACAAATCATGCTCCCACTGAAGTTCATGGGAATAATCCCATGAAACAGGCCCAGGCCCATAATGTTTATCCTAATGTATACCCTGCAACACCAGGTTTGGGATATAAGATTCACATTAAAACCTATACCATGATTCACTACTGTTAAGTAATCTTCCATTTTAAGAGATTACCCCGAAATACACCAAAGTGTCCTTAGTACAGTTCTCCTTTACCAGAATGGTCACTTCTTTTAAGCAACTGATTTTTGTCAGTTTCCTGAGTGGTGACTTAATAGTTTGCACTCAAGTTCAATTGTGTTGATAATCAAGCCCTTGCTAATTACAAACTATTAACAGGTGGGTCTATATAAGCTGCCAGAGGCCAAGCTTTTTGAATTTAGAGACTCAGCCAAGGTCATCATCATTAATGCCATTTACCAAGAAAATGACATATATTATCAGGATTCCAAAGTTATCCCATCTTATCCCTCATAAAATTAGGCTGTTTCTAGTTACAGGGCAGTTGCTTTTGGCAATTTGTAGATAGAACATTAACCTGAAAGTACCTGATCGTGTGAGGTTGAGAATAGCTCCAACTGCATTTTGTTGGACTCTAGGATCATAGGAGTTGGCAAGTGCCAGCAAGGGTATAACTCCCGCTGAGCCGATGGCCTCTCGGTTGGACTCTGGGGAAAACATACAGTGAGAGAGAAATAAGAAGAGTGTCTTTTCAGTATGTCTTCACATTAATCTAATAAACTCTGGAAAGGAAGTGTAAAACTAGCTTTATTTGGGATTTTTATCTGAATTTTTACTATTTGTCAAAGTCCCTTAGTATCCTCTGAGTGAATCCCATGAGCTCAAAAAGAGAGACGCTAACTGCAGAATTTTAAATGTCTCAAATTTAACTTATAACCCTAATGTGCTCTAACAAGGTATTTATGATCTTGTAAGTATTATATTATATTAGCAAACAAACCTTTATTTTGTTTGTAGGTAGGATTTCATTAATTTAGCAGGATAAACACAGTGAACCAAATTCTGTTTTTGGATTATCTGTGCCACCTTAAGGTTAAGATTTTTGTCATGGTTATTTTTATTAAAAGTCACGACAGGTCGTGGGCAATAAACAAAAATCCACGGAAGCCTGCAACTTGTCTGTGACTTTTACTAAAAATAATGGGGGGAAGGGCTGACAGGGGATGACTGAAGTGCAAGGGAGGGGGAATGAGAGCCTGAGCCTCGCTTTTTCACCAACAGAAGTTGGTCCAATCAAAGATATTATGTCACCTATTTTGTGTCTCTCATATCCTGGGACCAACACGGCTACAACACTATAAAAGTGTAAGGCATTTATTATTAATTTATAAAAATTCTACTTTGATGGCTATGTCTTATGGCATATTTAATCACTTCATATTCATACACTAAATATTTTGGGCCTTGTACAACGTTTCCTCAACCCAGTCTTGAGAGAATAATAGCTCTCCTTTGCTGTGATGCCTATAAAAAACTTGATAAGTTAGGCCACTATTGTGCTGAGACTATTGCCTATCATACTGACCAATGTTGTTCCATTGTTACTTGTACTCCCTCCCATCAGTCTATATCCATCTGTTGTCTCTTGTCTTATACTTAGATTGTATACTCATTGGGATAGAGACCATCTTTTTATTCTGCGTTCGTACCGAAACAAGCACATTGGTCCTTGTGATTTTGAAAAGCATTCATTATTGTTCTTACTCACCTCCCAGTGAAGTCGTTGGGAATTTCAGTGGGAGCAGAGTTAGGCCAATATTGAATGCTTTTGAAAATAGCACTCAATGTTTCTTTTGATTCTCAGGATATTTTGTACAAAAACAAAACTAAGGCCAAATCTTGTACTCTTTACTCAGGCTAAATGCCCATTGAAATCCATTGGAGTTTTGTTTGAGTAAGGTCTGCAGGATCTGGCTGGTTCAAAGAGTGGCTAGTATGGGAAAGGAGGCTGGGAACTCTCTAGTATGGATGTGTAGTTCCTTAAAGGTGAGGTCAACTCTTTATGTCCGATTTCACCCAAAGGCTTAAGAGGCCAAAAATATTCTCATTGCTTTTACAGTATGATGTGCATATATGTTTTTTCTACACTTCAGTCAGTAGAAGCAAAAATCCTTTCCTGTAGTTTTATCTGATGGCAAATAGTGTGGCATGATATATGCTTTAATTAGTTCAGCAAAAGAAAGATTTAAACAGATTAGGAATTTTGAAACTATCTCCTCCTCCATTCTTTCCCACGCTACAGTGTGAGCTGTGTCTATGAATGTGGGAAGGAAATTCATGTCTGGACAAGGTAATTTTATAAAATCTTTTTCTCTTTTCTTCCTGTAAGAGAGGCTCCTTGGGAAATTTTTCAAATCTAGATCCCTTGCTGGGAGGTTTCCTAAGAAAGCAAGGGTGTTAATGCTGTATCAGATTCACAATGCATAGTTAACGCTTTGTCTCTTTAAAGCTTTGTCTTTTAAAAATTTGATTTGAAAGGGCTTCAAACCCATGATGCCTCAGTGGCTGAGTGTTCAATGTTCCTGGCCAGTGCTTGGGCCCTTGATCGCCCAGGCTTTCTTAGTTATCATTTAGACAGAAGAGGAGTAGCATGAGGAAATTAATCTAGAAGTCTCCCACCTGGCTGAGAATGGTTGGTGTCTCATCTCTCATAATGGGAAGATAGAAAGACCACAGTAATACCTATGATATAATTACCCCCATAACCAAGAAAGCCATGTTTTCTTTTTCCCTAGGGTCATTCACTAAGTTCCTCCACTGAACTGATGCTGTGCAGTCTTCGGTGAAGATTATAACTGTGAGCTTGCTGGATGCATTTTTATATAACTTATTCTCCTCACTCTTCTCCTCTCCTCGCTCCAGTGCTGGTATCATTCATGCATTGTGGCTGATCTCTAGCTAAGTGGCTAATCTTATCACAGGGATGGACTGAGATATGCATCCCACTGAGAGAGAATTTTTTATTCTAATCTCCATAAAAGCTGCAGCTGAATAGACTGTTTTTATTCTGGACCACCTGATTACCAGAGTAATTTCAGTCCCTTTATAGCTGCCATTGCTCAGGCCCCACTTACTGTGCTTTCAGAAAGGGATTATGTATCCAGATGTTCCTTCAAATCAGCATTGAAGAATTAATAGCTTCCTCCAGTTAGTGCCCTGGATTTAAAGAACTCTTCTTGCAACCTACAACTCTTAGTTCCAGTTTGCCAATGTAAACCATTTCTGTGCACTTGAAAATTCTCTTGGCACTACAATTCCTAGAGATGTGTGCACAATTATTGGCAACAAAGAAAGAGAGATACTCTATGAAATTGGATTTATCATCAAAACCATTTTTATATCTGACTTTCCTTTGTAAGGAAAACACGTGAGACGTTCTCCTTACTCAGCCTAACATGAATGCTCAGGTCTCTCTCAACTGCTGCTGTGAACATTCAGTTCATATTCTCTCTTCTCTGCATCACTGTGCCTACTGTTTATGCTAGAGTTACTGTTGGCTGCTTTATCTTCACTTAGTATAATGCATCTCGTTCGATCACTTTTGCTTGCATTGGCAATATTCCTGTATTTTCATACACCCCTTTTGATTCTTGAACTGTGGTTCCTTTGAACCCATAGTCAGACCCCATTACTACTTCCAGGCTTCCTTCTAACTAAGAGTTCTGTGTTAATAATGCTCATTGACTTCATAGGCTTACATCAGAGATGAATTTGGACCAATAACTTGAGACCTCAGAGGGAATTGGGGTTGTCTCTTCTTTTACATGAATGTGGCTGGGGTTTCTCCCTTATCCCACTCCCAAACCACTGTTGGATAAGAAATCTTCAATTTCCTTAACTCCACAAACCCCTCACTTTTGCATGTATTCTCAATTCTCCTCTATTTCTGTAGTATCAAGCCAACCCTGAATTGAAATGGCATAGAAATTTGAGGCAGGTGGAGGAGAAGATGACTACACAATGAATTTTGGGCTTTGCAGTGAGGGTCCAAAATGAATGAATTCAAGGGAGGGGGGCCTGATTTGTTTGAACCAGCCCTGCGTGTGGGCCTCATGAACAAATCTAGCTGGAAATTTTTTGATAGGACAATCTTTCATCAAAAAATGCTGGGTTTTTTTAATGTAAAAATTTCATGGGAACATGTCAATTCTGGAAAGCTACTGAGACTTTTAACCACGGTGCCAGTTAGTGCTAACCATTGTGGTGTGTTTTGTGATGTCCACCATCTTGTATCACATAGGCCCTGAACAATGAACAGGTGTTAGCAACTTTCAAATACTACCAGCTAGAACTGAATATAAATCTGAATCCTTGAGGTAAAAGCCAACCTAAGTTCCCTCTGAGCTGTGCGGTCGTGCAGCAGGCTATCAAGGGCCATGCAGGTGTGCAGGGGGGAGAGGTGCCTCTCCTCTGGCCCCGGCCCCGGCCCCGGAGCTGCTGTGGCTGGCGAGAGGCACTTCTCCCCCGGCCTCAGCCCCGGAGCTGCCGCAGCCAGAGAGAGGTCCGGTAGGGTTGCCAACTTTAAAATTCCAGAAAACCGAATACCCTTGCCCCGCCCATTGCCCTGCCCATTCCCTGAGGCCCTGCTCCTGCACCGCCCCCTCTCACTCCATCCCCCCTCCCTCTGTCGCTTGCTCTCTCCCACGTGCTCATTTTCACTGCAAGGCCCAAATGGGGAGGGATGTATTGACAGATGTATTATGCTAAGGTCAGGTTTTATTTGTTACAAGACACTAGAGCCGGTAGCAAAATAGTCAAAAAGGGTAATTTTTTAAAAAAATGAAATTTCACAAAGGTTTTCATGATTCTTTCCCTTCCCTCTTCCCATTTTTCGTAACCAGCTCCATGTTTTTTGTTCACTCAAGTTGTTGTGATTTTATGTGTGGAATTAGGACTACACATTATCACAGCTGCAATGGATCCATTAAAGGCCCACTCCTGAAGCCCAAATACAAATCCATAGAGCACAACCACAAAATGCACACCTGTCCATATACCTATATAAATAAATTTGTAGAAACTGATTCCCACACCTACATGCAGATACACACGTGTATTCATATGTACACATCTAGCATGCACTAATACATATAAAAAGCAAGAAAGAGTCCTGTGGCACCTTATAGACTAACAGACATATTGGAGCATAAGCTTTCTTGGGTGACTACCCACTTCTACGTCTGTTAGTCTATAAGGTGCCACAGGACTCTTTCTCGCTTTTTACAGATCCAGACTAACATGGCTACCCCTCTGATACTTGACACTAATACATATATTTCCACATGATTTATTATTACAATTGTTGTTCAGTGCCTAGAGACCCCAACTAAGATCAGGGCTCCAGGGTGGTAGGTGCTGGACATACACATAAAAAGAGAGAGTCTGCAACAAAGAGTTTTTAATGTAGCTAGACAAAGGTGGGGAGAAATGTGTGATACGTTGGCTCTTCTGCAATTACTAGTCAACAACATTCACTTCTTAAGAAATAATACATTTCTTTTAGAGTTCCCTTCTCTTTTAAAAACTTGTTATGAAATTAATACACATATATTTTATGTCATACATTTTTTTGCGTGCAAGCCAGCAAAAGGAATAAAAGTCAGAGTTAGGCTGCAAATTTTATTCGCACAAGTATACACACATGCGGCAATGCACATGCCTACACAAAGATACACAGTCTCTTACACACATACAATACATGCATGCATGCACTTGCCTATAGAGAGACACTTTGTCATACACTTTTCCAGGGTCTGCCTAAATCACCCAGCTGGGAAGGGAGGATGATGGGCTGGAGGGGAAAAATGGGGGTGGTGAGGGTGGAGGAGAGAGGATGGGGAGGGAAAGAGGCCAAGGATGAGAGCAGGGTTGGGGTGAGAAGGGGCAGTGAAGGAGAGAGGAGGGAGTGTGGGGGGTATGAGGGTGGATGGGGATGTAGGGGGAGGCAGAAAGATATAGGTGCATGAGGATGAGAGGGGCACAGGGGTGTATAGGGACATAATGCGAGTGCAGCAGTGTATGGAGGTGAATGGGGTGCAGGGATGTGGGGGGTGAGGGACATGGGGGGTGGCGGTTCTGGGGAGGTGGAGAGGATGGTGGGAGAGTGGGGTACAGGGCTGGGATGGGTAGGTGTGGGGGGCAGGATGAGATGGGATGGGGAAGGGATGTTGTGACGGGGGATAGCGGTGCGGGGGGGTTGGGACAGGGAGAGATGCAGTGAGTGGGATGGGGGTGCGGGGCGGGG